TGGGCCACTCTGGCTTTCACCAACATCTTGGCTGTGTATAATGCGAGTTGCTATAACAAGACTTCAATCTCCATGGTTTCCCATGATCAAATTTCCTTTGTCACCTACTTACAGTATAGTGCTGGTCTGGGAGTCTTTGTGTCAGCCTCTAGCACCACACTTCTTGATGGAACACCTGGCTTTGCCTTGCTGTTTTTCTATTCTTATCCTTTCTACTCACTTTAAGAATTTCCTCAGCCAGGCATCAGTGGCTCACACCTGTAATCCTAGCTACTCAGGAAGCTAAGATCTGAGGATCCCAGTTCAAAGCCAGTCTGGGCAGGAAAGTCCATGAGACTCTTATCTCCAATAAACCACCAGAAAACTGGAAGTGGTGCTGTGACTCAAGTGGTAGAGTGCTTGCCTTGAGCTGAAGAGCTGAGGGACAATGCCCAAACCCAGAGTACAAGCCCATGACCGCCAAAAAGAAAAGATTTTCTCTTGCTTTGTCTGTCTTTGCATACCTTCCCCAATATTTCCTGGGATAAAACAGGCCAATATAAAGAAATACAGTGAGCTAGACATGGTGATGCATGCCCATAATCCCAGCTACTTGGCACATGGAGGAAGGAGTATTGTAGTCTGATGTCATCTTGTGCAAAAGCATGGGGCCATATTTGGTAAATAAACTAAAAAATCAGGGTGTAAGTGGTAGAGCACTTGCCTTGCAAGCACAAGGCCTTGGATTCAGTCTCCAGTGCCAGATGAGGTATTGGGGAGTATAAGGGTCCCATTTTTTTTCCAGTCCTGGGGCTTGAACTCAGGGACTGGACAATGTCCCTGAGCATCTTTTGCTCAAGGCTAGCACTCTACCACTTGAGCCACAGCACCACTCTGGGTTTTTCTGTTTTATGTGGTATTGAGGAATCGAACCCAGGGCTTCATGCATGCTAGGCAAGCATTCTACCACTAAGCCACATTCCCAGCCCAAGTGTCCCATTTTGAAGTTGACCTTCCCATTCCTGACACTCACTGTTTTCCCCAAAGGTCAAGTTAGCTTTAAGTAGAGTTGTCAGCATCTAGTGGGCTGGTCTGTAATCATCACTGGAGCAAGGATTGGGTGGGGGACCTGCATGTGGCTTATTCCAGGCTCCACCCCTTGACTTCACTGTTGTTCTTGGCTCCTTGGAGAGATCAGAGCCCATGTCACCTCTCTTTCTAGCTCCCAAGATGCTCCTCTTGCCTTATTCTGCCCTTCCCCCCCCCCAGCCCTGCACCCCTCTCTGTCATGGGGCTTGAACACAGGGCTTTGGCACTGTCCTGAGTTCTTTTTGCTCAAGGCTAGCACCACTTCTAGTTAATTGGATATGAGTCTCATGGGGACGTTTCTGCCCCAGCAGACTTCAAACCATTATCCTCAGATCTCAGCCTCCTGCATGGCAGGGATTACAGGTGTAAGCCACTAGTGCCTGGCTCTCTTACATCTTTGACCATCTGAACTTGGCCTGTTTTGCCAACTCCTCTTTTTCTGCTGGCCCAGTGAGGTGATAGCACCAAGACCTCTTCTCTCTTTACACTCCCTTGCCCCTCTTAAGGAACTGCATCCGTTCTGGGTGACCTTGCACCAGGGTGTAACTGCAGCTTTGTGGATAAGATTTCTTTTTCTTGCCTTTGAATGCACATTTCCTTGAATCTGTACCAGGAGACAGTTGCCAGGAAGGAATTTTATTAATAGATTTGCCTTTGAGTCTGGGAAATAAAGGGCACTTGCCTCTATATACTGCTGGAGCCCCAAAGCATCCCATATTTTCACTGTGGCATTTTCATCTATAAATTATGGGGACTTTTTAATATATTGCTGCCATCATTCCAGCTATTCATATTACTGGATAGTTTTTTTTTAATTTCAGTACTGAGTTTTGAATTCAGAATTGTGCTTGCTAGGTAGATACTCCACCATTTGAGCCCTAACCCATAATTTTGGGGGGTTTGGACACATGGCCTTGCACTGTTGCTTCGCTGTTTTGCTGAAGTCTGGCACTTTACCCCTTGAGCCATGCCCCTACTTCCAGTTTCTTGCTGGTTAATTGGAGATGAAAATCTTGCAGCTTTTTTTCTGCCCAGGCTGGCTTTGAAGCTTGATCTTCAGATCTCAGCCTCCTGGGTAGCTGGGATTACAGGCATGGAACCACCATCACCTGGCTATTTTGGTATTCTCTACAATACAGATTTCCTTCAGGTATGATTTACATAATTCATGCAGTCCTTCTTTTGTACTAAAACTGCTTGTTACATTTCTTTTTTTTTCATCTTCATTTGCAAAATTTCTCTTGGTCAGCAAATCACTATGATCCAGCATCCTGTGACATGGGCTTACTCTAAAAGCAGCTATGGAGTCTTGTATCCCATTTCCAAAGAGATCATGGTATAAAAGATGGTTGATCCTGACAACTGATCTTGCAATGGTAAAAAAAATCAACAAAAAAAATCTGATACCACAGTTCCAGTTCCAGGGCCCCTGGGTGGTTTAGGAATGCTAAGAGGGCTCTCTTCCCCTCCCCACCCCCCACCCGCCGACATATCAAAGATGATACAGTCCTTTTCAGTCTTCTTGTTTTAGACTTAAACAGTGTCTTCTTCTACGGTGATTAAAAACTACAGGTGGAGCTGAGCACTGAGTAGCTGAGATCTGAGGATTGCTGTTCAAAGCCAGCATGGGCAGGAAAGTTCGTGAGACTCTAATCACCAGAAAACCAAAAGTGGCACTGTGGCTCAAGTGGTAGAGCACTTTCCTTGAGCTGAGGAGCTCAGGGACAGTGCCCAGGCCCAGAGTTCAAGCCCACGACTAACAGCAAAACAAAACAAAACCCTACAGGTGTTATATTTGTGTTTGGAGGTTTAGAAGAACAGAGTGGAAAGAGAAGTTGCCAGAAGCACATGATTTTCAGACACTGACTAAGCACTGTTGTCAATCTGAGGAAAATATTTTTGTTGTTATTCTGGTGCCAGGGCTTGAACTCATGGCCTGGCATGTTCATTCTGCTTTTCTTTCTTTCTCCCTTTCTTTCTTTCTCCCTTTCTCCTTTCTTTCTTTTTCCTCTCTCTCTTTCTTTTTTGTCGCTCATGGGGCTTGAACTCTGGGCTTGGACACTGCCCCTGAGCTCTTCAGCTCAAGGTGAGTGCTCTACCACTTGAACCCACAAGCCACTTCGGTTTTCTGGTGGTTAACTGGAGATAAGAGTCTCATGGACACTTAGGTGGCTGAGGTGAAGGTTCAAAGCCAGACTGAGAAGGAAAATCCATGAGACTCATCCCCGATTAAGCAGCAAAAAAACAGAAATGGAGCTACATCTCATTTAAGCCTTGAGCTTAAATGCTTGGTACAGTAGCCAGGTTCTACGTTCAAGCCCCAGGACTGGCACCAGAAGAAAGTAAGGCTGGCAGCCTGGTACTTACATGGTAGAGTGAGTTCAAACCACAAAAACAAATGAACTAACATACCAAAAAAAGCTGGCTGTGGAGGTGAGGGCCTGTAATCCCAACTAGGTCAGAAGTAATCAGAAGGTGACTCCCAGGAAAAGTGAGCTCTTACTAGAAAAATAAAGTAAAAAGGATTGTGGGCATGGCTCAAGTAGCAGATGTTTCAAGACCCAATACTTCCCACTTCCCAAAAGAAATCTGTCAAGGAACTGTGATTTGGGAGGGTGAAATGGCATCTTTTTCACTTTTGGTAGTATGACACTTTGGCAAGGAGAACATATTGTGTCTCAGATATTTTTTTTTAAAAATAAAGAAAGGCAACTCAGGCCAGGCACTGGTGGCTCACGCCTATAATCCTAGCTGCTCAGGAGGCTGAGATCTAAGGATTGTGGTTCAAAGCTAGCCTGGGCAGGCTCTTATTTCCAGTTAACCACCAGAAAACTGGCAGTGACACTGTGGCTCAAGTGCTCACGTTGAGCTGAAGAGATGAAAGACAGTGCCCAGGCCCAGAGTTCAAGCCCTATGACCACCACCACCACCACCAAGAACAACAAAAAAACCCCGAAAATAATGAAGGCAACCCAGAACAAAATGCACACACTAAATGTGGGATGGGTCCCATCTATAATTAATCTTCTCTGGTCCTAACACATCTTTAGATTTCTTGTTCGAAAGTTCAAGAAGGCCTTGAGTATAATGCATTCAGAAAGTTGGTTTCTAGCTTAGTAAAATTCTAGGTCAGTCCCTCCTCTTCAGGAAAAGAAAGGCGATCAAGAAGCCAGGTTGAGTAGCAAAGACAAACAAGATGAAGGCTTTGAGGCCTGTTGTTTGGAGATCAGACATTTCCCCTTTCAAAAGGCCAGGCCTGGCTCAGATTTTCAGAAACATCAAGAATAGACCGTCGTTGTTAGCGGCTTCCAAGGCGTTCAGAACAAAGCAACACCCCACAGAGGCCTTCTCGGTGCTATGTTTAGAAACAGCTCTTCTCACTCTAAGCCTGGCTATCATCAAAACAGCGTTCCCTTTTATTTTTAAGGCTTATGGTCAAGCACTGGTCATTGCCCTTCCCTCACCCAGCCGGAGGTGGTGTGCACAGAGCTGCACATAGACAGGAGGAGCAGGAGCACGCGTGGGAAGATTCTGGATAGGTTAAGAGAAATCCCAGTGGTGTGCAGGCTGCTTGCAAACTTTATCCACCGTGAAGACACAATAGTTGAATAGCTTAAGCGCGGATGCTCCTTATGCCCGGGACCACTTGGACTAAACTCAGCGGGTGTGGCGATGAATACCTTTAATGCCCTCACTAGGGAGACTGAGGCAGGAACGATCTCAAGTTCCAGGAGAGTCCGGATTATACAGACTCCCGTTTAAAAAAAAAAGCAAAACAACAACAAAACTCAAAACCCCCAAACCGGGAAAAACAAACCAAACCAAACACCTGCGGCGGAACAACAAAAATCGTCACAACTCCCGGGACACCGGCACCTACGTCCGCCGGAAGTGCGGCTTGTTAGAGTCGCCGCGATGACGTCACAGGCACGCCGGAAGTCTCCCGCAGGTCTTCCAGGCTCCGTGCTGCGGGCGGTTCGCGGATCTGTGAGTTAGGCTTTCGTCGCCCGGGGCCGTTCGCATTCTCTGTCCGAACCTATTTTGTGTTGTGGCCACAGTGCTACTGGGGGGCCTGGGGTCCCCCGTGTTCACGCCCGGGTGTCCTACAGCTCCTCCCCGCTCCTCTGAGCCTCCTCTGTCTTCTCCACTGTATCCCGCAGCTGCAGCGCCCCATCTTCCCTGTGTCCCCTCCAAGCCGCCGCACCCCCAGCTCCAGTTTTTTTCCAGGAGGAAAGCTCTGGCCATGCCCAGATAAAGAGTAGCCTGGGGCAGGCCCACAGGTCCCAAGATGAGCGTTGGGATGGGTACAGGCATAGGGAGATTAGACCTGAGGCTACCATACCAGGCGTGTTTCTATCCCTTAGCTGTTTCCCAGGAAGACTTACGACTGTTCACGCTACGTGGATCCAGGTTCCCCTACTCCTGGACTGGGGATGTAGTTCATTGGTAGAGTGCTTAAAACAAGCATTCTCAAAGCACTGAATTTGACTCCCAGCACAGTAAGAAAACCAGACCCCCTTACTTCCAAATCCTTCTCCACAATGTATTTCCCAGAGAACTCCGGTCTTACTGTGTTTTGAACTGATTTGTCTGTGCACCAGATCCAGCCTCCTGGTGGAACCATGTCTCCTGCAGCTGGGGGTGTGCCTGGAACACTTTGCCGCCCAAGAGGAGTTGCTGTCTGAATTCTCCATGAATTTTGGCAAAAAGGAATGCTAGAGCTGCGGGCTGAAAATGTATCCAACCTAGAGGAAGATGTAGGCGGGAGAGCTTGCATCCCCTTGTGAGAATCGCTGCTCTTTGTAAGGAGTCATGAATACTTTCTACTTTCATTATCTCAGTTGGAATTCTGGCACAGTAGCCTGTCCACGAAGGTTCAATGTAACCAGTTCCACTTCCTTAGCACAGACCTACATATTAAATCTTGATTCTTCCGAGTTATTTTCATTTGTGGCCCCAGGCCAGGAGAGAGGCTTCATAACATGCCTATGCCTAATTCTGTGTGGCTAATCCTGGATTCATGGCCTCTGATTGCCTCTAAGAAGTGCTTCCAATGAGGCAGCAGGTTCTTTTTTCTCTTTTTGCATGGCAGGGTCTTGCTACTTAGCCCAGGCTAGCCTAGAACTTGCTATATACAGCATGCTCCCTTCAAACTCCCAGTCTTCCTGTCTCACCCTCCTGAGTGCTGGGATTATAGTTTGTAGCACTGTACTCAGCTGAGGGCAGCAGATTCTTTTGAATCCTTTCTGTGTTAGTGAGTATGGGAATATTTAAGGATGTAAAAGATATGTTACTGTGGATTCATTTCCTTCCTTGTTTTATCTTGGAATTTACAGGCAGGAGATGTCCCAAAAGCAGACTGCAGTGTTCATCTTGAAAGAGAGCTCATAACCATCTCTGGGGCCACACTGAGAAACAGTTTGGCTCTGTGGTATGTACATAAGGACCACTCATTTCTTTTTCTTTTCCTTTGGTTTTTTTTTTTTTTTTTTTTGGTCAGTCGTGGGGCTTGAACTCTGGGCTTGGGCGTTATAGGACCACTCATTTCTTGAGAGAGTTGTTACCAAAGAATATGTGCTATAGAAGTAATGCCATAAGTGAATGTTATAATTTTATTGAGCAGCACTACATATGCATTCTGTTCTTTTGCAGTCTCCCAGGATGGACTTCTTGGTTCTCTTCTTGTGGTACCTGGCTTTTATACTGGTTACTGTAATTCTGATCTGCATCTGCTCAAAAACCCCTCGTTTGAAAGGCCTGGCCCAGGAAGGAGCACAGGTAATGATGATCCTTAGATACCACTAACATTGGATGACTTTATTAGTGTAAAAGCTTCACCTAATAAGATTAAAAAACAAACAACAACAACAACAACAAAAACCCCCACTGGGTGCCAGTGGCTCATGCCTGAAATCCTAGCTACTCAGGAGGCTGAGATCTGAGGATCATGGTTTGAAGTCAGTCCAGGCAGAAAAGTCTTATCTCCCAATTTAAAAAAAGACAAGAATTCATTTATATATTTATTTATTTAGAGGTGATGTCTCTCTGTGTTTCTCAGGCTGGCCTCAAACCTTTTTTTTTCTCTCTCTCTCTTTTTTTCTACCTGTGCTGGAGTGTGAACTCAGGGTCTGAGCACTGTCCCTGAGCTCTTTTTGCTCAAGGCTAGTGCTCTACCACTTGAGCCACAGCACCACTTCTGACTTTTTCTACTGAGGAATGGAACCCAGAGCTTCATGCACGCTAGGCAAGCATGCTACCACTAAGCCACATTCCTAGCCCCTGGCCTCAAACCCTTGATCCTCCTGCCCCAGTGCTGGGACTGCAAGCGAATGCTACCATACCTGGCCAAGTGATGGCAGTTAAATTCATTGGTTTACTTAGTCCTTCATTTATGGCAGTTGTGGTGTATTTGATGTTTATGTTACTGCGGAGAGTTAGTGGTGATTTGAAACAAGGTCGCATTCTTGCGGTTGGCTCTTTAGCTCTGAACAGAAGTGCCTGGGAGTGAAACTGGTGGAAATGGGAGCAGAAAGCTGAGTATTGGGCTTCAGGGATCAGGCAGCAAAATTGGGGCAAGTAACCCATGGGAAGAGGTTGACTTCGTTTTCTGTTACAATTTTATTGAATAAGCTATCTATTCCTTTAATTTCTATCTGTTCTTTTTCCTTTTGTCAGCTATGGGACTTGAACTGAGGCCTGGGTGCTAGCCCTGAGCTCTTTTACTCAAGGCTGGTGCTCTACTACTTTGAGCCACAGCTCCACTTCTGGTTTTCTGGTGGTTAATTGGATATAAGAGTCTCACAGACTTACCTGCCAGGGCTGGCTTTGAACTGTGATCTTAGATCTTAGCCTCCTGAGCAGCTAGGATTACAGGCGTGAGCTACTGGTTCATGGCTCTTATAACTAATTTATACCCAACTTCTGTGGGAAAGTGTCCTCTGAATCCCTGAGTCTTGATGTTTCATTGTTTTTTTTTTGGGTCCAGTCGTGAGGCCTGAACTCTGGGCCTGGGCACTGTCCCTCAGCTCTTCAGCTCAAGGCTAACACTCTACCACTTGAGCCACAGCACCACTTTCGGCTTTTTTCTTTTTTCTTATGTGGTGCTGAGGCATCGAACCTAGGGCCTCACACATGCAAGGCAAGCGCTCTACCACTGAGCCACCTTCCCAGCCCAATGTTTCATTGTTCACAGATCTCTTTGCTTGGGATTAAGCCTTGCAGGATTTGGACTTTTCCTGCCATGAGAGTTGGCAATCCATCCATTGCCAGGATTCTGTCCTACCTTGCACTAGAGTCTTCAGCATCGACCTGACCCCTGACCCCCATGGAGTTAGGGATGGGTTTGGAGCTCCTTGATGCTTCTTTTCTGCCAGATTTGACTCCCTGGTTTGCTCAGCACCACCACCTCCTTTGTGGGTCCTGGTTCTCTTCCCATATTTTCCTCTCTTCAGAATCTCTTCTGTGTTATCAGAATGTTCTCATTCATGGAGTGGAAACAGAAGGTGCTTCTAATGTGCCATCTTGTCCCAGTTCTGAGGAGGTTGACTTAGAAGGGATCTGGATTACCATCCAGTGATGACCCCCTTGAACATGGGGTCAGATCCAGTGGAGGGGAAGGAGAGGAGCAGCCTTCACATCAGCATCCCCTGAGCATCTTGCCTGCTTTTCAGTGCCACTTTTGGGGTTTGAGTAGAAGTAGAGGAGCTGGCCTCAACATGGGCCAGTAAATGTTCTTTACTGTCCTTGTTCTTTACTGTCCTTCATTCTCTCTGCCCATGTATGGACAGAACTTACACTCATGACAGTGCCAGGGGGGTGTGCAGATCTAATTTGTTTGGGAGTAAGGAGAATAAGAAGTAGAACTGAAGCCGGGTGCCGGTGGCTCACGCCTGTAATCCTAGCTACTCAGGAGGCTGAGATCTGA